TGCTATAATGATTTGAAGGATTACTTAAATGGTCGTTTTAAATATTTGACCATGAACCTTTCGATATAGAGAAATACTATTAATCCCCAATGGGGATGTATCCCCAGTCTATGTGACATTAAATGATAGGTGAAATTAAATAAGTTATTTAATTCCACCTATCATTTAACTAATCATTTACATTCACATAGACTGGGGATGCATTCTCACTGGGGATGAATAACATTTTTCTGCAATATATTATTTTAGTGAAAGTTGAACGCGAATAAATAAAAGATTGCCCCTCAAATTGCTAAAGATGTGTTAATTATTTAAATGTTAACAATTATTTTTCAGTCTACATTCACTATTCGTGCTTGGATTCTTGATTCCTTTAGGAATTCGTTGAGTGCAAATATGATTGAGGCGATGATTTGTGCTGAAAATTGGTTGCCTAGTAACAAGGAACATAAAATAATTCGTCAATATTTAAATGAAGTAAAAACATTGGATAATTCACAAAAAGTTATAGTAGATATTATCGTATTTGATCTTCCTATTTATTTTATTTATTGGTTATTTTATATCATTTAACTATAATTAATAAATTTATGTGTTGTATTCTTATCTTTATTAAGAGAATGAATCATGTGTTACAATTGTAAATGATATGCCAATTAGTCTAGTGTTTTAAATAATATTTTTAAAGATAAACATTAAATTTTAGTCTATATTTATTATTTAACTTATTTGATATATATTAATTTTTTCTTTATTAAATTGTATTTTTAAATCGAAACAAGTCAAAAAAAAAGTGATTTTGATTGGTTTGGTTTAGAAATTGAAGTGGTTTGGTTTGATTTGATTTGAAAAAATTTAAAGCTGCTTTAAGTGGATTGATTGGAAAATTTGTCTCGATCTTAATCAAGCCATGTTCACTCTTAATATTCGTATGATCGGACTATATGTCATATTAATTTTTTAAATATTAAATGTAGAATTAGTTCTAAAATTGCTTTTTATATAATTTCATCAATCCCCATGCACTTGGAGGAGCATGGTCCATGATACATGGGTTTGGTGCTGAAAACTGAGGTTGAAAATATTGGGATGACAAAAGTTTGTTGTAAAATCGTGCTTTTGTCATCGCAATTTCTTCTAGTTTTTAGCCCACAAATTAATAATTATTGCAATTTTTGACTTTTTTTACTTTTTGGACTTTTAGGACAATGCAAATGGAAATCGGGGATTTGCAAAGCGTTTGCTGGATTTCTAAATTGATTATATGTGTGTTCGGAGAGCACGCGCGTCATTGAAAATTTGCAATTATCATGTTTTCATAAAATAGTAGTTCGTTTTAAAATATTAATTTCAAATTTTAACAATAGGTTTAAGATTTAAAGAGATCGAATTGTTCATTTGAACTTTTTATACTCTGGTATTATATTGTCTTAAAATTGCAATTTAAAAGATGAAAGTAAAGATCCAAATCCTTATATATTTAAAAATGTGAAATTCTACTCTTAATGCATAGTTATAAGCAAAATGACATTATGGTGGCAAGTGATGCTATTGTTTGGTGCAATCACAATATGGGTCTTTAGATTAATTATGGGATATATGAAATTATTTCGTGCCTTGATACATTTTTGGTACATTGTATTCGAGAAGAAGAGGAAAGAGAGTAAAACTTCGTACTTTACACGTGTATGATACAAATATAATTTTTTACACAATCACATAATATATTAATTAAAAAATTATGAAACTTTACACACTACGCGTGCATGAGATATTCCAAGTCTTGAGGTTAATCGTGAAAATTTTGACAATAAATTACATTGGTTGTTACACTTTTGACTCACTTTATGAATTTTTAAAATATTTCATTACGTTAAGGGATGTTATATTTTCTTCACGAGTCGTATAGAGTTTAAGAAATTCATTAGTTCAAATTAATTATTGGATATACTCGACGTGAACCGATTAATATTTTAAACATCGACTTAGGCATTAATTCGAAAATAATAAAGGGTAAAATCGATCGTTAAAATGTAAAAAAATAATTTTCTGATTCTGAAGTTATTTTATTTTTATTTTTTATTTTTTGACATATGTCTATACTCAATTTTATACCAATTTCTCGACTTTTCAGGTCAAACGTATTGCTATACTCGATCACTTTATTACATTATACCTATGATTAAGAATCGCATTAATTAAGAAGTAATTGTGTCAAAGATGGCATTAATCTTGTCTTAATCAACCTTGATTGATTAAGAAGTATCTTAGGTCAAGAATAATGATATTAATACCATATTTTTTTATTTGTTGCACCAATTTTAATTACCTTAAAGGTTCCCAATCTTTAACCATTATTCTATTTATATTCTAACTTCTTTTTTTCGTCGTATTCTTATTGTCAACCTTTCATTAATTAACCAATCCTGTCATTAAAAAAGATCTCAATCCAAATATTGCGGGCTTCGAAATGAGGGCCAAATTTACTTCGTATTTTTTGTATTTATTTATTTATTACTTATTTAAAAAATAAAGAATAAATAAGTTTATTGATGTCTTTTTAACGAATTTTGGACGGAAACCGTCTCTAAATAATAGAAGGTTGAGGATAATAACACAAAATAAGCCCCTGTCTGGGAGGGCTTTTCAGAGTTTGAGAAGTGATTTTTCAGCCGTTGTTTTTGACCGTTTCTCACCAAAATGCAGCCGCAATCTGTGGAAATTTTACCGTTGCTGGGTCCAACGGTCCAAAAAGGAATTTTAATCCAAATTTTCAGCCAGCCCAGACAAGCTCTAAATTAAGGATACAAGTGTGATAATAATAATAATAATAATAATAATAATAATTGATGACCTCTAATGCAATTAAAAAGAGATGCAATAAATAAAAATTAATGTGTTAATATATTAACCTCGGGTCAAAGATGGCATTAATGTTAAGCCCAATTGATTTTACATGGAGAGTGGAAGCACACGTGACCTCACATTACTCCACACCTCACGTGTGTGTGTGTGTAAATTATTGTTGTTTTTTAGACTTTTTACACAATTTACTAATGGGTTTTTGTCACTTTTAGGTTGTGGGGATTGTCAAAATGTTTTCAATTTCGTTCAAGACCAGCCTGTCCATTTGTTCATGTTTATGTTTGGGGAAGTTTCAACATTTGCCATCCCATAATGTCGGTACTCCAATCGAATTAATTTTGACAGTATAATAAAAGGGTGTTTGACACCCATTTTTGTGAAAGAATGTGTTTTTGAATAGTGATTGATGGAAGAATGCGTGGTTAAAAAGTAAGGAGAATTTTTAGGTTTATGTGTAATATTATTTTATTAATAGAATGTGTGGTTGAAGTGAAGAAATAGAAAAATGAGAATGAGAATGAGAAAAAAATGGATGCCAAACGGGAGCTAAATAACATTTTTATAAAAGTATAATCCACTTTACTAAATAAGGGGTTAATACCCTAAATAGTCGTTAAACTTTGCTAAAAGTTCCCAGGAGATCACTGAACTTTAAAACTTCCCTAATTAGTCACTGAACTTTGCAAAAAGTTCCTAAAAAGTCACTGAATTTTGAAACTACCCTAAATAGTCACTGAAATTTTTCAAACTACCCTAATTAGTCACTCAACTTTGCAAAAAATTCCTAGGAGGTCACTAAATCATTGATATATGGGGTCACAATTTGCAAAATTTGGTGACCTTCTAGGAAGTTTTAGCAAAGCTCAGTAACTATTTAGGATAGTTTTGATTGCTAAAAGTTCTCAGGAGGTCACTGAACTTTAAAACTTCCCTAATTAGTCACTGAATTTCACAAAAAGTTCTTAGAAGTTCACTGAATTTCGAAACTACCCTAAATAGTCACTGAACTTTTCCAAACTACCCTAATTAGCCACTCAACTTTGCAAAAAATTTCTAGAGGGTCACTAAATCATTGATGTATGGGGTCACAATTTGCAAAATTTGGTGACCTTTTAGGAAGTTTTAGCAAAGTTCAGTAACTATTTAGGGTAGTTTTGAAGTTCAGGCCTTCTAGGAAGTTTTAGCAAAGTTCAGTAACTATTTAGGGTAGTTTTGAAGTTCAGTGACCTCCTAGGAACTTTTTGCAAAGTTCAGTGACTAATTAGGGAAGTTTTGAAGTTCGATGACCTCCTAGGAACTATGTAGAACCAATATTTGGCTGATTGCACTATCAAAACTAGGAGTATTTCTTTGACAAAAGAAAGAAATTAAATAATTCGAGTATAACGTGTATGGTCACACGTTACTTATTAGTTCATTGTGTCAAGTATGCGTTGGGGGATGCATTATTTTAGTCAAGGAAATTTTGACTAAACTTTGAGCGATGATCTTCTTATTATTGCACGCGTCTCTGATTTACTTCTATATACCACACAAAAATGTCTAAAGTGCTTATGCAGGTATTGCCTAACTATCGTTGACTATAACTTCATTATATTATTTCTCCTCATTGCTATCATTATATTCTTTCTCCTCATTGCTACAGTACTATTTAGTGCTTATTACATGAAGAATTAATCTAATTGTACAGTTTTTACAACGACAATTATTGAGTTGTCAGATCCGTGTCATTTATCTGTCAAGTATGAAGTTGTAAAGAAAATTGTATAAATAACATGATTGTTATGTAAAATATGGTAGACTCAATGAAGTGAGCGCCTTGATCATACTTACCATTAGTACAAATAACCAAAGCACTTTGAAGAAACAGAAGACTAGCAACAAACCCACAAACCACAAATTCACATCATAGGGGAACAATATCATTTACTTTTTGGCTACAAATTAGGCATCAATTTTCTCTAGGGCATACAAATTCATCGAATCCTTTGGGCAGAAATTTGGATCGAACTTAGTAAATCCAAAGAATTCGACGGTTACACAAAGATCATCTAAGCATCCATACATTTTTCAAAGTTGAGTTCTTAAAGATAAAGAAGAAAACCAGATATTCGTCAATACTTTATTACATCAATTTAAATGCTCGTACTAAGCAAATATGCCCAAGGTGGACCTGTCTGGTTTGATGAATCTAGCCCTCGTTCGGCAGTTGGCAAACCAGTAATCAATTTCCTGAAATACAAAATTAGTAAGCTTTTAGTAAAGTGAAGTACTCCCTCACTAAAAGGACGTTTAACTCTTTCCAAAATGAGCAATTCGAGAAAATTTCTAGCAGAGATCATCTTCTAAACCATCAGTTTTGAAGAGGTTACACGATATAATCTTGAAAAACAAACAAATTTGCACGCATACCTTTCTACATCGCTAGTGCCTGGCTTCATTAGAATTGTCAATCTTTTTGCTTTCTTTGTAAACTCACTGCAAAATAAGAAAATGAGACATTATGGTAAATGAAAAGCAATTCATGAAGTTCCAAAATGCAATTTTTGGACGTTGCTAAACCATGGAAAGTAAAAGGTAACAAAATGAAAAGCGTCACCTGAATGGTTCTTCTCCAACTTGTTTAACAGCACCAGTTGCATCATGATAGAACACGTGGCTCAGCATCTCTAATCTTTCAATCTCGAACATGGTTCCAAGTAATTTGTATAGATCTTCATATGATCCAAGAGCAGATAATTGGAGAATCCGACCCTCATCATCCGACTCCAAGAATACTTTGCAGTGCCCTGGGCCCAACCCAACCTCAGCTGCATGAATGCCCTGTTTCGACAAAACCTGTGTACTAGACAGACTTTTTGGAAGACTTGAAGAATTCTTTCCTGATAATACTTCAGAAACGTCACTTGAGCAGTCAAGAGACATTTGTTGCTCGGTCAGTATCGGCTGACCAAACAGGACAAATCGGGGCGTCATTACAGTATCAGTTTTCTTGGACTTCTGACTAGAATTCCCCATGCTTAACCAGCAAGAAATATCTTCATTACCATGGTGGCTTCTGACAATACCATCAGAAATTTTAGTATGGAGGTCAAGCCGAGGGAAATTCGGGCGTAAAAGTCCCTGCTGCAGTTTATTACTAAGGTGATCTGAGAACGGAGCTCGAATCTTAGCATGCCTGGTTCCTTGTATGCCTGCATTGATGTCATTGGATAGAGAACTTAAGGGACTGCTTGGCCCAAGAGGATTGCCCGTAAATGATGGCATTGGAAGCTGGCCATCAAGCGGAAAGTTGGGATAATGCGGTAAACGCAACTTCTTTCGTGGGGGTGAGAAGGGTGAGAGATGAATGGCTGGTACATTTGAGATCATTTCGACTAGCCAAGGGCTAACACGATTTACATTTTGTAGCATATCTGGTTCATCCCACGTCACCTGCAAAAAAGGCGAGATATATGTAAGAGCAAATGGAAAGTAAAAATAAGCTGAGACGAAGTTTCCTAAATTCAAAATATTTTCTTGTTTGCTGCTTAGGCTGTAGCAATGCAAAATACTGGGAACAAATGCAGAAGTAGAAACTGAGAAATGGCCATATAATGTTACTGTAGGTCAAAATATTTCTTATTTTCATGTAAGGGAAAAAACGAGTAAGAGTTCAACTCTAATTATTATGGAGTCATAAATTATTATATACCACTCTCATACCTTTAAATCAGTTTTCTTATTAGATCGAACAAATTGGATTCGCTAATGAATCGGAGATGCAAAAAGAATGTGAACTCCAACATTTTAAAGATGGAACCAGAACAAAAAAAGGAACCCTTAACACTAGTTTCGACACACGTTAAACCGTCAAGGTTCCAAGGTTTTGGCAATAGACAGATTGCACGAAATTTTAACTTCAGAGGTTTGAGTCTTTCGTTAAATACCTGAAGGAGTCGCCACAATGAATTAGGCCAGTGAACGGGATCAGCAACCTGAACGCAAGCTATAGTACCCATAAACCAGCTAATCCGGGAAGAATCCTCGGTTTCAAAAGCCATCTTGAACCTCATCCCGGACAACCACTGGATCTTCAGTGCAGCACCTATGGAGGAAGCCTTTACACAAAACTCTGGCGTGCTTGCTCGAGGGTAATAAGCCACCTCAAAAGGCTGGCCAATGTTGGCAAGAAATATAGCCTCCATAACTGATTGAGGCTTCACTTTGCTCCTCTCCGCCCTTAGGCTCCCATTATTGCCGCTTCTGTGCAACAGCTTGCTATCATCTTCCTTCAGAAATGCAGAAAAGTACCTATAATTTCCAGCACCACCACTAGAATTCCACCCAGATGAAGATTCATGGCCACCGATGTCGTCATCCCTCTTGGCCCTCCGAATCCCAACACAGAGATCCCCATTTTTTGCCCTCAAAAACACGACCGAATCTCCTGCAACCAGCTTCTTTTGATTAACAAAAGAACTCCACCCAGTGGTCAATAAATGCCTCCTCGGAGTCCCCCTATAGATATGCCTAAACTTCCAAGTCTTCCCATGAACATCCTTAGCAATCACAGTCTGGACAGGCGGATCAGCCGAATAATCCAACCGAGGAAATATAGTCTCTGCACAGTACCTCGGAACAGAGAAACCCCCACCATTGTTCGCATCAGATTGAGTCAATGTCTTTGCAAAAGAAATGGGCTTTTCATTCGATTCAAATCCATTTCCTTCCAACCCCACATCATCATCAAAACTATAATCACTATTCACAACTGGGATCAACCTAATTTTGGCATAAACTTCATCTGTTTCAGGGTCCGCCAAAAATTTCACTTCCGCAACCCTGCAGAGTATCATAGGCTGAATTCTCGGCAAGGCTGGGAATTCCATGTTAGTGAGTGTGTGCTCTGCATGGCCTTGTGGGAAATAGAATACCTTAGAGTTCACTAACGGCATTTGAACAATTCCTCCTGCGCAAGCATGCCAAAATTCAGAGTTCAAACTTGTCTCCAACACCCCCTCCATTTTCCAAACACAATTCTTGTACTCCACCTTTTATTTCTTCAATTAATGCTGAAAATCATAAGGAGACAAAAATTTCAGGAATCTCGTTAACGTAAATAAAAGTAACATCCCTAATACTCAAAACTCACCAAATATTCTGATACAAATGAGTCAGCGGACAAGCCACTACACTTGTTCCTGAATTATACGGATAATAATTTTAGGAGTGTGAATACATGCAAAACAGACGAAGAGCTTAAAAGGCCAGAATTTTACGAATCTGAGATTCAAGAAAACGAATACTTAAAATGAGATTCAGATTATACAGTAACACAACTGCTAACATGCGAAAACATCGCCTCACAATGGTCGCCAGACTCGCTACAGTTATTATTGATTCACGAAAAATGCTCATTCACTCTTTTCTCTCACTAAATAAGTCAAAAATTTCTACTCCACTCACTCTTGTCTCACTATAACAGTCAAAATTTTCTACTCCACTCTCTCTATGTATATGTGCGAGCAACTGTTAAAACGACAACGTTCCAGAAGCTCCAGAGCAACAGAGGAGTCTCTCTTGGTTCTGTCTCTCTTCAGATCTGTGAACATTAAACACAAACCATTATTTATTTATAACCGTCACAATTTTCAGTAATTTAATGTGGGTCTTGTGCTCAACCTTAAAAAACCAATTTTATCATCTAAATAAATTTAAAATTAATTCGAATTTATCTCTAAGGTCTTGTGTCTGACTTCAATACCATATTTACTTTTGACTTATCGCTAAATAACTTTTTATGCCTGCTTTGACTTCGTTAGAGAGTACACTGTTTATTTAAATAAATTATATTTAATTCGCTAAATAATGTTATTATATTCTCATTAGAGCATTCATTGCTAATGGTTTCAGTACCCACGGGATTATTAATCGTACCCTTTTTAGAGAATGTTATGCGACTAATCGCTAAAATTGAATCCTAACTTACCAGTAAATAAATTTTTATACTCTGTTTGTGATTTATGCTTCGACTTCATTAGAGAGGTCATTGCTAATTTAGATGATTGTTGAAATCGTCTATATTTAATTCGAACTAGTTCATTGCCAATTAAGAATAATCATTTTGAAATTTACTTGTAGCTTAAATAACTTTTTTATAGTCTACTTATAACTTATATTTGACTTCCTTAGAGAGTTCGCTAGTAATTCATAATGATAGTTGAAAATTGATTATATTTAATTTAGATTTATACTCAATAATGTTTTTTTTCTCTCTGTTTATAATTGGTGCTTTGACTTCGTTGGAGAGTTTATTGAAGATTCAAATTAATCATTGACATTCTATCTAAACAACATTTTCTTGTATATGCTAGTCATGGCTCTTGCTTTTACTTCGTTTAAGAGCTCATTGTTAATTTAGATCGATTATTAAAATATTTGATTCGAATTTAACGTTAAATAATGTTGTTATACTGTATTTATGACTCGAGCTTTGACTCCATTGATGAGTTCACAACCATTTCAGATTAGTCCTCGAACTATATTTGATTCAAATTTGTTTCTAAATAACTTTCTTTATATATGGGCAGTGCTTTGATTTCGTTAGAGAGTTTATTGCCAAGTCACCGTAATCATTGAAATTCATTATATTTAATTTTGATTTATCGTAAAATAACTTTTTCATACTCTTTTTACGGCTCGTGGATTGATTTCATTGTCAATTCATATTAGTCTTCGAAACTGACTATATTTAACTTGGACTTAATCTCTAAATAGCTTTTTATTCTCTATTTATGATTCCTGCTTTGACTTCGTTAGAGACTTCTTTACTAATTCAAATTGATAGTTGAAATTGACATATATAATTTAAATTTATCGCTAAACATGTTTTTATACTCTATTTATGACTTGTGCTTTGACGTCATTAGAGAGTGTGTTGGTAATTCAAATGTACCTCTTATATTCAATTCAAATTTAGTGCTAATTAATATTCTTATACTCTATTTATGATTCGTGCTATGATTTCGTTAGAGATTTCATTGCTAATTCAAAATTTATCGCTAAATAATGTTTCTGTACTTTAAAGAAAATATTAATAAATGTAGAATTAATCTATGTGTACATAAGTGTATACATATAGATTGACATAATGTGAGTGCAGTCGGCCGCCTGATACTGTAGCGTGAGTCCCACCCCACTCACATTATGTCAACCCTTATGTACACACTTATGTACACGTAGCATCACTCATAAATGTATTTTATTGAAGGACATATGATTGAAAAGATGAGAAAGAAAAACGTATTTTAAAAATAACGGGGATCAAACAAGTAATACATTGGTACCTTTTGGTTTTAATAAATGTCTTATATTTATTTAATTATGCAGAGAAGGATGTACTAATAATTTAAGGAGATTAAAAAGTTGTTGTATAATGGGACATCTTCTACTGACGACTGTTCTGGTTCTGAAAGTTCAGTAAAAAGTTATTTGATTTGACAGATTTAACCCTGCTAACGAGTAAAAGGTCCTTTTTGTCAGTTCTTTTATTCTGCTTAATTCGGATTTCTCGATTTTCGTGTTTTTGGCAGCAATGTTTTGTTGGCTAGTTAGTTTTATGCCTTAAAAAATTGCAATGTTGGCCCCTCAAGTATAGTTCAAGTAGTACATTGATCTTTGGGTTTTAACAAATGAGCAAGTTAGATCTAAAATGGCATGCTTTGGCGGCGCCTTAGCATGAAACGTGCTAATAACGCTACATTTAGGACCTATGCGCTAATTTAACAATCAACGAAAGCGTTGATCGCTTTAAGACACGTTTGGCTCGCATAGGTGCGCATTTGTACTGTGGATGACAACGGGACGGGTATGTGACGAATCGATTATTCTCACCCCTGTTCTGTAAAGTATTTTTGTTATCTTATCTCATCCTCATACCCGTTTAAAACGAAACGGAGCGGGCTTAGTATGGGGCGGGGTAGGTCCCCTTCCCCATTTATTTTTTTATTTTATTTTTTTATGTCTTTAATTAGTAAATATTAATATATTTTTACTAATTTGTTAAAAACAACTTATATATATATATTTTTTAAATTGATGATAAATATATTATTTTTGTTTGATAAACCTTAATTTTGAAAATAACTTTAAATAGAGTGGAGAGCGGATGGGGACTATGTTTTTCGTACCTGATTCGAGGTAATGACCCTCGCTGCTTCTTCGCCTCGTTTACCCGATTAGGCGGGTAATCTCCACCCCATTCGGAGCAGGTCCCACAGGTATTAGGTTGAACCAATTTTTTTGTCATCCCTACTTTGCACACATTATTATTATTATTATTATTATTATTATTTACACGACATAAATTTTTCAATTTTTAGGTCAGTCGAATTGAAAGACCCAAAAATTAATAATTATAAAATTTTCAACTTTTACACCAATAGATTGAAAGGTCCAAAAAAATACTTACCCACTTGTTAGTCTACTAATTTATTGAAGACATCTCCAAAAATTTTGCTGTAAACTTTCTATGTATGATAAGAATCCATTTGATTGGGTTGTAGTACATTGTACCTTTGGTTTAGTTGCAGTGTATTTTATCTTTTGTTTGGTAGTAATGTATTGTCGTACTATTGTATAAAAAAATATTTATATTTTATTAAGTTAATTAATCATTTTTCCGTCTTTTACTAATTAATAAAATTTTAAAACTCTCTACATATTTCAATTCTCTCTATTATAATATATCTTATTTATTGTTCAAAAATATATTTATTTTGTTAAACTCTTAAAAATGCATTTGGTACTATAATTTATATGTATTATCAAAAAAATTAAATTAATTAAAATTTTAAAATAATATTAAAATAAGAATACGTCTTTTTATGCCTAAGTCTTGCCTAAGCGTGCATCGACCGAAACTTGATCTCCACACATTATGTTTTTAAGAACACTATTTGTAACACTTTGTATATAGACACTAAGACACATCAGGAAAAAGGAGGTCAACTCATTCTTTTCACCTACTGGTGCAGGCTTATACGCCAAAAGGAGAGTGCTTTTTTTGAGAGTGCTTTTTTTGAGACTTCTTCTCTAAAATTTTATGTTTTTGATGGAAAAAATAATTAACTATCAATCTTTAAAGACACAATTTTAAACTTGAAGAATTCTTTCAAAAAATAAAGTTGTATTTATTCATTAGGTAATTAAATAAGTTAATATCACAATAACATATAATTTATGATCACAATTACATACTAATTACAAATCACAAAACGTCATAATCATAAAGACATAAGCTGTGAGTTACAATTGCAAATTTAGTCAAAAATCACATAGGTATAACTTATTTATAAATTATAAATTATCAAATTAATTGATCACAACACTGTCCTCCACCGCCTCCACCACTATTGTCACCATTACAACATGAACCTACTTCAACCTCCCACTACAAGATTTTAGAATTGAAATATTCAATACTCGAACTGGAATAGCTCTTTACGACTTGTAATCGATGGGTGAACTCTATGACTTTGAGTCTATAATTTATCTGTTTCTAATAGGTGTTGTTTCTGTTACCCCTACGTTGATGGACAAACCATAAGATCTCCCCTCAATATTGCAGGTAAAGTTCCAACAGATCTTTAGAGACGGTTTGTTGTACAAAAATTCGTAGGTTGAGAAATTTCAGCAAATTTCATAAAATCCAAAATTTGTGGGTTGAAAAATTGAGAAATGGAGTTCCAAGCTATGGTGTCGATTGAAAAATTGTTGGTTTTATAAGGCTCAGGATTTTGGAGAATCGGAATTGGGTTTGAGTTATTGAGGGAGTTCCAAGTTGTATAACTTAGAAAATTCACAATTTCTCATGCAAAATTTGGAATTGGAATTGGGTTTTTGTTTCAAGTTGTATAACGCGGAAAGTAGGTAGTTTTCTTGTTTTGATTTTCGGATGTGTAATGGCGTGGAAGGTGGCTATGAAGTTGTGGTGGTGGCGACTGTTTCTGGGCGGAGAAGGTAATGTTTCTACCCAGTCGTGGTTGTTTCTAGGGGTGGGGGTTATACATTTTTTCCTAGTTTTTTGATTAATTTATTTAACGTAATAATTCTGAAGTTGCCATTTTGCCCTCACTAAATTTGGTTAAAATCATTTTTCTTGATCAACTAATGGTCAAATGGATGGAAAGGACTCCAAGTGCATATTTTTGAAAAGTTTGGGATTGTGGGTAGCACAAAATGAAGGTTAGTGTAAATTCTGTAAAAAAAAAAGTGAAAGATTAGGGATCGCCATTGCAATTTTCCCTTTTATTTATTTCTATCTCACTATATTTCTCTCACGGTCTTTTTGAAATTTTGAGATTGAGAAGAGAAATTATAAGAGTAATATTATTCATAGTGAAGATTATTGATAGTCTCTCTATGTAGTATACACATCAGTTTATTATTTGATACGTTAATGTGATAATTTTCTATTGTCTCATATATTAAATTAGAAACTGTCACATGTATGCCACGTAGAGCGGCTGTCGTTAGTTTCACTATGAATAACATTATTCAAATTATAATTATAGTCACAATCCATTAAATTGTCTAACTAATTGTGATTAATTACTCTAATTTATTTTTCATTAAAATTGTTCAAATTATGGCCAATTCCATGATTTTTCATTTTTCAATTCCGTGACCTTGTAATATCAATCTTCTTTTGAAATTTGAAAATTGTCTAGATTTGAAAATTATAAATTAATTATAATATTTATGATTTTATTTTTCGTCATTTTATCCATTTAATGGTCATGTAATCATAAATTTAAAACTAAAAACAATGTAAACACTATATACATCTTAAACTTTTAAAAAACTGTCTAATTCTACTTACCAAGCATTTCACTTAATAGTAAAATAACAATCGCTTTCATATAATTTGGGTTAATAAGTAAATATAATTATTTAGATGTTTGAATGTGTGGTTAAATATGAAGTTTGATCATTTTCGAAAATATCACAACGACACAAGTTTAGCCTAAGTCTTGCCTAAGCGTGCATTGATCGAAACTTGATCTCCACAGATTATGTTTTTTAGAACACTATTTATAACACTTTGTATATAGACACTAAGACACATCACCTACTGGTGCAGGCTTATACGCCAAAAGGCGAGTGCTTTTTTTAAGAATTCTTTTCTGAAATTTTTTGTTTTTGATGGAAAAAAATAGGTAACTATCAATCTTTAAATATACAATTTTAAACTTGTAGAATTCTTTCAAAAAATCAAGTTGTATTAATTAGTTAGGTAATTAAATAAGTTAATATCACAATAACATATAATTTATGATCACAATTACATACTATTTACAAATCACAAAACGTCATGTAATCATAAATTTAAAACTAAAAACAATGTAAACACTATATACATCTTAAACTTTTAAAAAACTGTCTAATTCTACTTACCAAACATTTCACTTAATAGTAAAATAACAATCGCTTTCATATAATTTGGGTTAATAAGTAAATATAATTATTTAGATGTTTGAATGTGTGGTTAAATATGAAGTTTGATCATTTTTGAAAATATCACAACGACACAAGTTTCAAATTGAGAAAAGTTTCGATGAATGTCATATGCAGATATCATCAACATGAAGTCAAATTTGTGATAAATTCATTTGACATATTTCAAGCTTAGCACCCCAAATAAAATTAACATTTGTCCAAGTCAATTAATGTGACAAATCAAAAATTAATTATAAGTCGTTGGTGAAGGGATTGATACGGACATGCCCCATAAGTCAATTACAAAATTAATCTAAAGGGCAATTATAATTAATGATCCAACATATATATAGGTGGCTTTTTGTAGGTAATCTTGTCTCTACTCGCAAGTAGTTACATACATAGATAGATACAATAAGGAGACTATATTTTGCAGTAGCATGCATGCCATGGCTTATGCATGGGGCACTGCCTTAATTACAAGTGGTCCTTTGAAAATGGACTCACTATGATGGAAATAGTACCACGACAAATGCTACTTGTATTCTTTCCATGGGGACAAAAATTTTATATGACTGGTTAAGGTAAAATCAACGTTGTTGATTCGAGTTATATATCAGATTAAACATCAGGTCATTGGATCATCACTAGTTCAATAATCAAGTTAACCGTTCAATCGGTGACTCTTTAGTACTTGATATAAATTTACATGAAAATAATTTTAAAATAAAAAAATATTACCTGGGGTTGGAAGATTATTATTATTAGGTGTTTTTTTTATATCGTTTGATTATTATTCCCAATTACGTCTTAATTACCATTAGGTTTACGTTTGTCACGCTTGATGGACAGGCATTTGGCTGGTACTACAATTAAGAAATTGGGACCAACTTCAATAAATCAAATAAGGCAAGGGAATTATAATCTCCTGCTTCTGTTCATTCCTTTATCAACTTGCAACCTTTTATTAAAGGGCAAGTTTTCAATCGATTCACACTTCAATCTATAATTCATGCAAACTTCTTGTCCCTTCAATTATAATTTCTCATATACAAGGGAGCTTTTTGTTATTTTACATAAAATAATAGGAATTTTATTTGATTAAATTATTTTCTGAGAATTGTTTTGGTTTAGAAGATTAACTACATTTTCCTTGTTTAGATACAAATTAGGATTTCAAAGTATTAAAGTTCAAATTGATTAGCTTGTTTCAATTAATTCAAAGTAATCAGTTAAAAATCAACGAAATGTATGGTTGTTTGGTGGGATTAAAATTAAATATTTAGTAGAACGTGATAGAAGTTTTTGAAATGTATGGTCGAAAAGTTGTGGGACCCATAAAAATGTGGTTAATATTGATTGTTTGACTTTGACTTGAATTAAAATCAAATTTTAATCAGACATGGACTTTAGTTAAAAAAGGTTGCACAAAAGGAATATGAAAAAACTAGCATTTGCCATAAAAGGGCAACTGCTCGAAAGGATGAGACGAGGAAGAAAACTTGGGTCATATTGATCCATCAATGGAGGTGTAGCATAGTCGAGATGAAATTTAAGTGAACTAGATTACATAAGAAATATTTCAAAGTGAGAACGAGTCCAAGTAAAGATTTAGGTGATCAAAATCAAGCATGCACTATTGTGGGAAGTCATCTCAAATGAGGCTATAGGTAATAGGTGTAAAGGTGTGTCAACTGTCAAGTCGACCCGACTCGGTATACCTGTCTAAGCAATCTGTATCGAGCTGTCCCAAGTCCCAGGAGCAGCCCATAATGAGCCACTCTGGGGGCGTGGGGTCAGTGGAGAGAAGAATTATTCTGTAAGATGAAGTTTCACGTTGAGCAAAAGAATGGAAGAAAATAAAATATGCGAAGTGATGGGGGAGAGAGGCCCACGAGGGTAGGGATGACCATGGAGACGATGTTGGGAGTGGAGGAACCAGATGAGACGAACTAGGGGTCCAGCTTTCAGGGCGAGGGACCGCACAGGCGGAAAATAGGGATGCAGAGGTGGGAACTCAGAATTTATGAAAGAACATCAATTTTCATCAACATATAAATCACGTCTAAAATTACAGTTTGAACAACAAATAAAAAGAACTTATAAAAAGAACTGTTACCTACACCAATAGGCATCATCTAAACTGTGGAGGAGTCAAGACCCGAGCCATCCAATCACCTTAGTATTGTTGAACATCTCTACAAAAAATCTCAGCACTATTCATCATAGCTTGGTAACCTTTTTTTGAATGATTTTGCATTTGTTTCTATCTGTTAGTTCTGAACTTTGTGTTTATATCACTTAATTGTAGTTAATATTACATTTACAGTTTGATTTTCGACGTTCTTCTTCTTGACAGAAAAATGAAAAGAAACAATAAGAGACCGGCAGTGCCTAAGGAAAGAACTTTCCAAGAGGGGGATCCGTATGAAATAATGTATGCGCTCTCAATAAGTGCTGTTTCTTGCCTCTTCTGCAGTTAAAAAGCACAATGAATCAGTCATGGGATAATAGCTCCAGTTTTTAAAGGAATGCAATAAGAGAACACTAAAGAGAAATTACATTAGAGGCTTCGATATGTGCATATTAGGGCCCGTTTGGCAGGGATTTTCAAAATCCCAAAGCTACTTCCGAGGCTAAGAAGATGATTTGAAAACTATTTGGATAATTTTCTTGGAGAACTTTGTCGGGTCAAAAGAGAGTTTAGAAGAAGCTGGCCAAGTTGGTTTTCTTGGAAAGCTCTTTTAAAAAATGCAAAGCAGAAATTCTATCAAACTGACCCTTAGTAACTTGTATCAATGCCATGTGTGTTTGATTTTATACTTTTCTTTACGTAAAATGATTCTAAATAATAATCTTACTCTTGCTCCAAAATGAAAGAAATTAGTATACATGAATGGTGAAATTTATTTTCCTTCCTATTTTGTATAAAGAGGAGAGAGTCTAATGTTGTTCAGTCCAGCGTACCAAACATGCCATAGGAAATTCTCTTCCTCGTAATCTACCAGTATTATAAAGCACCAAAGATCTATGGGAACAAAACATATGCACATCGCACGGTAACCACAAATTTTGTAAGGTTGCAACTTACTGTATCAACCATGTTCTGCATCACACGTGCCTGTTGCTTCAAGAAGATGCTCCGGCCATAATTATAAAGCTCCATATCTAGGCTGTTTAGTGATGTAATCTTCTGGATAAGTACCTTGGGAACTTGACGACGAGCCTGAAAATCGGAAAGCTAGCGACATCGGTGGCACGCGAGATAGTAAATATGATGAGTGCAATTAAAAAAAAGGGAAAAAATTCAATGTTCCATGGCTTCTCCATTCAAGCTATTATACCTCTTTTGTAAAGTTTGCAGGAGAAATATGCTGCATAGATTTTGCGCGCCTCTCTTTTTGGCTGTTCCATACATTTGAAATACAAGACTCATATTCTTCCAAAAGTTCCCTGACATTCATCTAATATGGCGATGGAGAGACCTTAGTCATGTGAAAAGGAAAGGAAAGTTCCAATCTAAACACTAAGGAAATTTAAAGGAAAGTCACGGCTCACGTTCTTATTTTCTGCTTCATCCATGTCGATTGATGAAACTTTCTTTACCTTTTTAGAAGTGTCATTTATCTGTACTCGAACAAAATGAGGCATTTAAGTAAAAGTACCCGGTAATCAAAACATAATCGGAAGAAAAAATGTTGCACCTCTTACTTGATAATTAGCAACCTTTCGGGAATCCAGAAGCAAGGAGCTCTGTTCTGCAGAAGAAGTAGAACATGGTTAATGAAAGCCAATATTTGTATCATGTAGGTCAGCTCCACATTATGGGAATAAGAAATGCATAACAGTTAAAAATTCAGTCAACTATGGAGTCATCTAATGTTTAGCAAAGCTTACAAGTGCTTATAAGCTAGTAAAATTCTATTTTTTCCATAGAACCCACAACTTTTACCCACTTATTATCCACGCAATTCATAGGACCCACAATTTATAAGCACTAAAAATCACTAACAGACAAGATTTAACATCCAGAACTCAAATCTTCCCTTCCAAGATCCACAGATAAAATCTCTTTATTTTTTTATCAGTAGCAACAGAGAGACACATAGTTGATTGGGTGCATAAATTGTTTCTGATTGCTAACCTGAATCGCTGTTATTTGCAACATCTCTGTTAGAACTCAACGTTGATAACTGAGAAATCACCTGTGCACCGACCACATTTGCAAACATCGAGGCTGATTCGTTGTGGTTCTCGGTAAATCCAACAAACAGCATATCGTCCAACCTCTTCTGCAATATTTACAACAATATATCATGGATGGGACAATCAAATGAATAAATAACATCCAAAAAGTAATATAATATTTGAAGTCGTGCATGACGACAAGAACCTTCCATAATTACCTTCGCAACTTCAAGCACAGATTTTCCAAGGGTCGGATACTTGAGTACACAATGGCGCACTTCATGTGATTCCATTAAATAGGAGTTGTTTGTGAGTCCAGCAATCTGAGAATTAGGAAACGGTTAAGAAACAAGATGCATTTAAACTCTGAACCATCAAGACGAGGGTGAGAAAACCATTCAAGATCACAAATGCCCTTTATAACTCAAAAAGGCTAAAATGGTGGGATCAGGCATGAGAGAAGTAAAGGAAAACTCAGATTTTAGATATAAATTAATTAATCAATATAACAACATGCACAGTGTACCAGCTCAATCTTTCTGTTACATATTTTCGATAGTTTATTGGTAAAACTTAAATCAAACAGGAAAAACGTAGAATTTGACAACTGAAAGTTCTTCACAATGAGCTGGATGCTGCCAAGATTCGGAATAAATAGCAATTATCATCTACTGAGTGGTTTACTATATTATTAAAAATTCGCTACATCAATTTTCCGATCCTAAACCACATCTTCGAGATACAAAATGTATTAGTAGGCAATCATGGATACATTAAAAACATATAGGGCTAACTAAGACTACATTACCTGGAAAGTGGCTCCATTGTGGACAATGTCCTGAACAATAGGTTCATTTATGTATTCATGTAGAGGCATTAAAATTTCTTCCATATTGTAGGAGTTATTGGTTATTGTATACAATTGTCCTCTATGTTTTCTAGCATCCCTCTGCCACAAATATGTAGAGAAGACTTTAAACATATGATATTTGATGCACTAAAATAATGAAGTAACCTCAAAGAGATACCACTATAAAATCTAAAATGAAATAATGCAAAAGAAATAAATTGGTGCCAAAAAATGTTTGCAAATTACAGGTTAAACTTAACAAATATGAGAGACCAATCCAAAAAGGCAGGCAATAAATGATCAATATTAACATTTCACGATTCATTATTAATCATGAAGATTTTGTAAAACCATGATCGAAAAATTGGTGGATTGCTAGTATTCACTACGGTCAAGAAATAGAAGTTCAGATAAAAGCAAATTGATTTACTATTTCCAAATACAACAATCAGTACGAAAACATGCTAATAAAATCGACAGAACATCCAAAAATTTCATGAATAAACTCTCAATTTTAACCATGACCTTCACTGCATGATGGTGCGAGAACTATTTAGAGATCATGAAGTCAAAGCATGTCAATCATCAACTACCAAATTCTACTGTTGGATTGCAAAATAATCTTTTCAATTGGAATAGATTGATTTAGCATATGGATATGGAACGCAAAGAACAATATATGTTACTAAAAGGTGATTAAAAACATCTGAATTGTTATAACTTCTCTTAAAGATTTTCATGGTTAAATTCAAAAGTGCATCTGAACAAACATTTTGTGCTATCACAAAGTATACAGCACGCTGCAAGAAGACTTGGCATGACTTAATTAAATGATGTGTTAAAACAGCAAGGAATGTTAAAACAAGACTATTTTAACAAGAAACTGTGTATCAGTTCAATTAGTTGGTTTGAGAAAAATAAGTCAGAAGTATGATAACTAACAGTCAGAATAAGGGACCAGTATCCTAACCAGTATGAATTTGTTTCAAGCACAGCAGCAATACTTCATGTAGCATTTGCAGAGAAAAAAATCATAATATAGGACGCCCAAAGAAAATATGCATGAAAGGAAGCGATCAAACTCTAGTTGAAGGACGTACTCGGGCAAATAAATCTTCTATCATCCAAGGAACCAGATATTTCCATGGCCAGATTTCCAAAGTGCTTACTCCAGGCCCCTTAGGGCTCGGCTGTCTAAACATTTTTTCCACATAAGTTAAGTTAGGATGTTTCAGATATCTAGCTGCTACCTCCACAGAAAATTCATAAGCGCTTAAGACACGTTCAACAGGGTTTCTAAGTATTGTCACTGCTGAAGTTTTCTCCTTGGGAAGTTTGTACGTCATGCTAAAGTCATCATGACTACTTAATAACCGACAGTTTGGTTTTCTGTGAATTGCAACAAAATTCATATCTTAGACATATGGATAAACAAACTGCAGAAGTAGAATACAATATATTACACGATATGAATACAAGAATAATCACAATGATCCTAAAAGGTTAGCAACATTTTTCCATTTTTCCAACTGTAGCATGTTCTTAAGATAGTCTGGTTAAAGCAAAGGACATCGGCAAATGTTAATAATTTTCACCATTACGCAAGAACAAAAAGCAAACATGTCTCAGAAAATGTTTATATTAAAAGGTTACAGCTTGGACCAGCAATAACAATCAAATCATAGAGAGACAATCATTCTAACTTATCTTTCTTAACTTCAAAGAGGTAAAGTCTCACAGCATCTTTATGCAACAAATATTCCATCCCAAGCATCACCATTTTCTAAACAAGTTGTCAAACACTCATTCCGTCCTCACAAGCACAATTCATATAACTTGAGAACAAATTTGCAATAGATGATCAAGGTATATTAGATTAATTGTTTTCGATTCTCTAACATGTGATAATGCCCATCTATATTCAGCTTCGCAAGCTCTTCATTCTCAAGACATCAGGCAAGTGGTGAATTCTGAGTTTATGACTAGTTCATAATAATTGATCTTGGCTACCAATACTCACAATTGCAAAGGTGGTCTCAATTTTTTTCAAAGGAGTGCTTGCGTAAGAACAAAGTGACCTACCGATTGAAGATTTCATCAAACTGAAAAAAAAAATACTTCACATGCTAGAACAATGATGTCCAGAATTACCTTGGATCCACCCTTAACTTATCATAAGAGCGTGGACATTGCTGAGAGTGTGAGTAAAGCTTCATCAAGAAACTACATACAAAGATTCTAAGCATGAGAATAAAGCGTCTTCATTTATCATTTAATAAATTAATTTTGAGAATGATAATCATCTTTTCTTCTTTCTTTTATGAGGTGGGCCCAAGGTGGCCTAGGAGTTCTGTACCAATATCGATAGAAAGTTACCATTGGAAATATGCACGTCCTCCCGTTCGAGGTATGTGAAGGAAAAAGAGCAAGTCCCGCAACAAATGTTTGTCTTCTTTAATTTCAGAATCAAGAGATGATGTTGATGCCCAATGCTTGACGGTATGTTCGCACTGCTTAAAGCCATCCTCGGCGAAAGATGTCTTTATGATGATAGGAACTGGTAAAAGTAAAAATAGATGAACTATTACTGCAAAAATCCAAACGCTATCCTTAAATAAAAATGTCAATCCAAAATACTGCTCGTTCCTTGTAGAAGCAATACATTATCCAAACAAAATAAGTAGTCACTGGAAAAAGTGTGCTAAAAGGTAACTGATTACTGATTATTTCCGAGCAAGAACGCTTTCCTCATTTAACCACAAACAAAAACAAAACAAATTTCTTACAGAAAAAAACATAAAGGAACTATCTTTCAACAGAGAGAAAGAAAATACTTGATAGAAGAAACACCAGAATCAGGCCTAAGTTCAAATCAATATTCAAGCACCTCATTTTGACCTCTCAATGAGCCACGAAACAACTGGACAAAAAAGACGAATAATTCTATTATCATTTAGTTCCATTAAAATCAATAAACTGTAAAACATTCAATATTTGAATTACTGCAAAGAAAAAATAAAAGGTAAAAGAAACCTTAAAACTGAAAATCCAGAAAACAAAAAGCAAACATAAACGCATTACACATTGATGTTGTATTTATATCAAAAGAAGAAAAAGTAACGTACATATGTTTATAGAGCATCGGGATGTCGTGTTCATAAATTCAGTTCCCACAAACAGTGTTGGTCTACAGGTAGACAAACCTCACGATCAGACAAGGGGGGCCCACTTTCTCCCCCCCTCCGATCGATTTTGTACAAATCCTTGAAAATTAAGGATTTCAATTCCATTTATTCTCACAAAGAAACCGAAATTCTCGTACTCTCTCTCTCTCTCTAGATACCATTTGACAAGCATAACGGCGGGGAATCAATTAATGGGGGAAATTGTAGCAGCGGTCCCCGAACCTTTGATTTTTTTTAGACTTTCTCCTAACCTTCTGTTTGTGAAAATTAAGGTCCCAAATCTTTGAGAAATTAGCAAATGGAGTCCAAATTGATGGAAATCCGTTCGTTGACCCAAAAAATTGACTTTGACCAATTTAAATAGAGGCATTTACGTCAATCACATATTTTCCCTTTTAAAAATCAAGGGTATGTTTGACCTCCATTTTTAGCGTAGAATGTATTTTGAAATAGTAAATTAATGGAGAATATATGATTAAAACGAAAGAAAAGTTTTTAGATTACATGTGATATTATTTTATTGAAAAATGTGTAGTTGAAAAGAAGGGAGAAAAAAATATATTTTGAGAAAAATGAAGATCAAACAGGCCTAAAAAAAAATCTTGCTCCCAACCAAGACCTAGTGGTGGCAAATGAGCCGAGCGGCTCGTCGGCTCGCCCGCACGGCTCGTACTGTTCACGCCCACGCGCTGCTCGAACTCGTAAAAAAACGA